AGAGTTAAGTGTCAATGTTATAGTTCTAATAATTAGAAAATTTCCCTCATTTTCTATGCTCTGGGACAGTTTATGGGGCATTGATGTGATCTGATCTTTAACACTTGGTGGAATTACATTTTAAATCCATCTGGACCTGGTACATTTTTGTGGGCTGGTTCCTTGGAACTCCTGTTTATTCTATAGAAATCAGTTGTTCAAGGTTTCTGTCTCTAATGGGTCCATTCTGGTAAATCATGTTTTCCTAGTAAACCATATACTTATTTAGGTTTTCAAATTTATTTGTATAGAGGTCTTTCCCCTACTTTCATTTAATTTGTTCCCCTCTGCCACCGCCAGGAAACTGCTTTCTGGTATTTACCCCATCGATTCGCTCGGCCTGCTCTTGGGCTCCATATAAACAGACGCATAGGCCCCACAATCAGTAGGGTGCTCTTTTTCTCTGCATGATAGTTCCCACATTAGGGTTATTCTGCAGTGCATTCTCTAGTTGGTAGATACTGGGTTGTTTCCAGAGTTTGACTATTTTGAATAAAGCCACTATGAACACTCTGGTTCAGGTGTTTTTGTGAACATACCCATTTCACTTGGGTAAGTACTCAGAGTGGAATTTCTGGTCATAGGAGAGATGCACGTTCATGTTTACGAGGAATCACAAAATAGTTTCCCAAAACGTAATCGCCACACTTTACGTTCTTACTGGTGATGCTTCATATCCTCACCAACACTTAGTGTTGTCTGTTTTCTTGACTAACCATCCCAGTGTGTATGAAATGGTGTCTGAATGGGATTTTCATTTGCATTTCCTTGATGACTAATGATACTGACAAATTTTTATCTGTAGACAGGCCATTCTTCCATCTCCTTAGTAAAGTATCTGTTCAAGACTTTTGCCCATTTTTAAAAATTGGGTTGTTCATCTTTTTACTATTGATTTCTAGACATTCTTTATATATTCTGGATAAAGTCCTTTGTCTATATACTGTGAATATTGTTTTCTCAGTCTGTGGCGTGTCTTTTTCCATTTTTAAATATTGTGTTTTAATAAAGCCCAATTTATCAAGTTTTTTCATGAAGGGCTAGTGTTTTTGTGTCCTGTCCAAATCTGCCTATCCCCAGCTTAGGAAGACATTTGTTTTCTTCTAGAAACCTCATGATTATGGGGTTTTATCTTTAGGCCTAAGCTATGTCTTGAATTAAGTTTTGTGGAATTAGATAGGAGTCAGTGTTCATTTTTTCCACATAAACAACCAGCTGTCCCAGACACATTAAAGCCATGTTGACCTGGTTACCACAGCTTTATGCTAAGTCGAGAAGTCAGCATAAGTTCTGAAATTTTGTTCTTCTTTAACGTTGTTGCTTCAGTAAATTGGGCCCTTTGCACATACAAACTTTAGAATCAGTTTGACAATTTCTGCTAAGAGAAGAAACCCTCCTGAGATTGGGATTGGATTGGATTGGGATGGCATCACATCCACAGACTGATTTAGGGAACTGGACTCCACCTACATGGAGTCTTTCAATCCAAGAACATTGCATATCTCTTGGATTATTTGGGTCCTGCATATCTTTTATTAGATTTACTCCTAGGCATTTTATGTTTTTTGATCTGCGACTGGAGTTTTCTTTGTGGGAAGGTTTTGATTACAAATTCAATTTGTTTGGGGGTGCCTGGGTGGCTCATCGGTTAAGCATCTGACGTCGGCTCTGGTCATGATCCCAGGATCCTGAAGCCCTGCCATCAGACTCCACGCTCAGCAGGGAGTCTGCTTCTCCCTCTCCTCTGCCCCTCCCCCTGCTCATGCTCTCTCTCTCTTTCTCTCTCAAATAAGTAAATAAAATCTTTAAAAAAAAACAAATTCAATTTGTTTAACAGATATTGGGCTATTTCAATTTTCTAGTTGCTCCTTTTTTTTGAGAGAGAGAGCGCGCGCGCGCGAGAGAGCACACATGGTGGGGGGGCGGGCAGAGGGAGAGAGAGAGAGAATCTTAAGCAGGCTCCATGCCCAGTGCAGAGCCCCATGCCGGGCTTGAGCTCATGACCCTGAGATCATGACCTGAGCCAAAATCAAGAGTTGGATGCTTAACTGACTGAGCCACCCAGGTGCCCCTTCTATTGTTCTTACATCAGTTTTGTTAGTGTGTTTCAGGGAATTTGTCCATTTCATTTAAATTGCTTAATTTATTGAATTTCATTCTTATTATTTTCTTACTACCCTTTTAATGTCTGTAGGATCTGTAATGATTTTAAATCTCTGGTGTCAGTAATTTGTATTTTTCTTGATCAAAATTGCTAGGGGTTTATCAGTTTATTAATCTTTTCAAAGAACCAAATTTGACTTTGTTGCTGATGTTTATTATTTGACAGTTTTAACATCATTGATTTTTTTCACTTTTGTTTTTATTTTTTTTCTTCCACTTACACTGGATTTAATTGGCTCTTTTCCCCTAGTTTCATGAGGAGAAACTGCACACTTTCTTCCTTTCATAGCTCACTGGGACTTAGTACTGTCTTTTCTGCTAATAAGTACTTGGAAGTTACCAGCTCCCTGTGTTCTCATCATGACAAAAGGCATAGATTTGTGTAGTTTCACACATTCATGTTGTTTTACATCATTTAGAAGTGAGGGTATTTGGGTTTAAGTGGCTGCCATTTTCCTAGAATGCCTAGAAATCTTCAATATCAGTAATTTAAAAGCTCTTAGAAATTGATATTTATAAAACCCTAACAGAAAAATTAGCACATGATATGCACGGGCAGTTTACCAAAGAAGAACTACAAGTTAACAGTGAATGTATGAGATCTCATTACTATCAATCCCATTAATAGTCAAAGAAATAAAAATTATAATAATGGTAAAAAATTTATCACTTAAAAAATGGCAAAAATTCAAAAAGAAAGAAGGAAAAAGAAAGGAAGAAGAAAGAAAGAAAGAAGAAAGAAAGAGAAAGAAAGAAAGAAAGAAAGAGAAAGAAAGAAGAAAGAAAAAGAAAAAGAAAAAGAAAAGGGAAAGGGAAAGGAAGAAAGAGTATCCACATGGTCAATAATTAAGGGAAATAAGTATTGTAATACATTGCTAATAACCACAAACTATAGAAGTTAATTTAAAGTCTCTAAATGTCTGTATTTTAAAGACACAAATTGAAATATTTATGAACTCCACTGTCCGGGTGCCTCCCACACCTCCAGCTTCTGCACTGACCAAGTAGAGTTACAACTTCCTGCCCCGTGGAGGTGTTGCGGAATTGAATGAGCTACTTCATGTAGGGCACTTGACACTCATGAGGACCTACACAGCATGAACTGTCATTTTCTTTATCATAATGATGATGATGGTGAGAAGGAGGAAGAAGGTAATAGATGGGTAGATAGATAGATGGAAGAAATGCTCATTGATCATGCAATCCAGTGGCTGTGCTCCCCTATGCACCTTCACTACTGGTGATTCTGGGAAGCCATTGCGGGATGGGGCTAAAAAGCTTGCTTTTCAAATAAAGACTTGAAATCAGGCACAACACAGTCACGTGCCCTAATTTTCTACAAACACACACACCCAAAAAGTATGGATACAACTGAGATTTAATAATTATAAAAATATGAATAACAGACATTAACAAATTTAAAATCAAGAGGAAATGGATGCACTGATAAAAAATATTTTAAGAAGCTATAATTGATATAAGAAAAAATTAAAAATCTGGATATGCTAACAACCATTACATAAATTGATATGGTGCTAAAATCTGCCCCTTTTCACTTGCCCTCTCCCCAAAATGTGCCCAAGCTGGATGCTCTTGTAAGTGAAACCAAACTTTCAAAGAGCAGATTATCCTTGCCTCAAAAAAGTGGGTTCAGGAAATGGGAAAGAGGGAGAGGGATCTGACTCATTTCTGGTGATCTTTACACCAAAATAAGGAGAGATGCTCATAGACTAGCTTTTCTTTAAATATAGATGAATATCTCCTAAGTGAAATGAGTCAATCCCAAGAACATATTTAAAATTATGATAAGGCGGGGCGCCTGGGTGGCTCAGTCAGTGAGCGTCTGCCTTCGGCTCAGGTCATGGTCCCAGGGTCCTGGGATCGAGTCCCACATCGGGCTCCCTGCTCTGTGGGGGGCCTGCTTCTCCCTCTCCCTCTCCCGCTGCTTGTGTTCCCTCTCTTGCTGTGTCTCTCTCTGTCAAATAAATAAATAAAATCTTAAAAAAATAAAAAATAAATAAAATTATGATAAGGCTTACCCCATAATACACAAGAACGATTCATCATCAGAAATCTATCACCAAAGTCGCCACATTAATAGACAAAAGAAATTTTATGTGATTATTTCAGTAGATGTAGGAATAACACTTGATGGAGTTCAATATTTTTTCATGATAAAAACTCTTAGGAAGGGGCGCCTGGGTGGCTCAGTCGTTAAGCATCTGCCTTCGGCTCAGGTCATGATCCCAGGGTCCTGGGATCGAGCTCCACATCGGGCTCCTTGCTCGGCGGGAGGCCTACTTCTCCCTCTCCCACTCTCCCTCCTTGTGTTCCTTCTCTCACTGTATCTCTCTCTGTCAAATAAATAAATAAAATCTTAAAAAAAAAAAAAAAAACTCTTAGGAAAACCAGAACATAGGCTGGAAGACAGTGCGTGAACAGAGAAAGTCCACGTAGGTGAAGTAAGGTTCCTGTTATGTCTCAGATACTGGTGGAGTCTCATCTTGTCATGAAGATATTTATATTTTGTAAAACACGAGTTTTATAATCACTAGGAAAAGAAGAACAGTCTTGAGGCTTATAAACGATGACCAAGTTCCCCTGTCATCTGCTAACTTGGGACCTGTTGCAAAATTGTCATGAATAAATTAAAAGTGGGTGTTTTCTGGAGGTTATGGATACAGACTACAAAACAAAAGAAATGGTTGAAAATTCAGCAAAAACAATGCTTGCACTTTCTCATTGTGAGGATTTTGAGAATGTATGCAGGAGCCAATTTGAGTTCTTATCTCTTCTAGTCTCTCGATGGCTTTGCCCTGGTCGTGAGTGCAGAAGGCATGATATTTTATGCTTCAGCAACAATCGTGGACTATCTGGGCTTCCACCAGGTAAACACAGCTCTTCGACCTGCTATGCAGTGGGTTCCACTGTCTTGCACATGCTTACTGTCTTCCAGCCTTAAACATCTGCAAAATCGGGCTTTTCTTATCACAGAGCTTTTCTCAGGTAAGGATTTTCACACCCCGGCTTTGTCTAGGGTTCCAGGTCGTGCAAAAGATGTGACAGTGTCCAGGGTGTCACAAGTGTACGGGGCAGTGAATTTTGCTGGCTGTGCCCCCACCACGCATCTCACATTCAGGTGAGGGGCTGGTGAGCACCAGGGCGCCTCTCCTTGCTGTAGCATCACTGTCTGGAACCTCAGATTTGGGGCACATTCAGGAAATAGCATGTTCTGGAAATGCCCTTATTGATTCACAGATAATTCATTTGGTCCGTGACCCCAGGCCTGCCCAGACTGGATGATTCCAGACATTGGGGCAGGGCTCTGGGGTTGAGACCCATCAAACGCTGGGATCCTCCTCCAAGAAAAGGTGCAATAAAACCCCCCACCCACAGCCCAGGGAGGGAAAAGGAAACTTCTCTGCCTGGCCTCTGGGAAGGGAATGAAGAGAAATCCAAAGCTTGAGCTTGAAGTCCAAATCCAAATTCACACTCTTGCATAGTGCAGGCCCCCTAGTCCAGAGCTAGTGGTGGACAGGTGAGATCTCAGGGCCTCAGGGAAACACAAAATGTGACCCTTCAGCAGCAAGGCCACAGCCATTCTCATAAAGATATCCCCTCTGAAGAGGGGTTCAGCATGCAAAATTATGAACACACTCCATTCAACATACAAATAGGTGGATTAGAGAGAGAACAAAATACAACTTTGAAAAATGAGGCATACAGTGTGTCTGTCAGTCAGGGTCCTGTTTGGAGGCAGAAACTGTGAAGTGATTTGAGTGGCTTAATATAAAAAATGGATACTAGTATAAAGATCATTAACTAGTAACACAGGAGCACAGAGGGTGGAGCCCTCAGGAGGCTGGGCGCTCCAGCAAGGAGCACATTCTGGAGACACCCTCACTGGTGAGGGTGAGGCCTTGGCCCCTGGGTGATGGAGAGATCAGTGAGGTGCCCCAGGCCAGGGCTAGCCAGCAGGAAACTGCCCACTGGGATGCTGGCCAGACTTTCGGGGAGGCTACCCATGGTGGGGAGTCCTGGGGTGGGTGTGGCCAGCACTCGAGGGGCCCAACCTCCCTCCTACAGTGCCAGGAGTACCTTTGCCAGCAGAGGGGAAATGTGTGCAGGATCCGGGATCAGAGCCAAGTGATGAATGAAGCTTAGAGGCAGTACATGGAGTTAATAACAAAAATCTCACTGGATGGGTGGAAGACCCAGAGCGTGCCCAGAAGCAAAGGGTGGTGGAAGCCAAGATCAGAGAATGTGGGTCCCTGACACATGTGAAAATTCAAGTTGGCCTGAGGCCCCTGAAGCTGATTGGAGCATTTGATCTAATTTCCATGAAAACTGTCATTTTGACTCATTTCCAAAACCTAAGTGGCTGTCACTGTCCAGATGATTCTGAGAAGCAATTCCTCTTACACCCACCTCTGCATTTGCTTTCCTACCGCCTGAACCCAGGACCGAATGGCTGACACACCCTCTCCTGACCAGGCCTCTTCTCTGCCACTGGCTCTTCCACAGGACAGCCTGCGGCGATAGCCGACCACATGGCCTGGGTCAGCCCCTGCAGCACATGCCGGTGTAGCCCCGGCAAGGACCCCACAGATACGGCCAGCGCGTGGCGAGGAGATGAAGTGTGGTGGGCGTGACCTCCAAGAGGCGCTCCTGGGGCTGCCCTGTCAGACCAGGGGGTAGAGCCTCAGCTCTGCTCTCTCTGAGCCTCCTTTTCCTCCTCCGCATACAGAGCCCTGGACAGAGCATTAGCCACCTGGTGACAGTCAGGGGGAAGCATCCGTACCACCAGCCCTGCTGCAGGGGAGGCTGCCCGTTGGCTGCTCGTGGCAGTGGCTCCCATCACTGTGTCCTTGTGCCCATCTCTACCTCCTGAAGACCTGTGGGGCAGGTGTCAGGAGATCTGAAGTGGTGGGGAATGCATCGCCCACTCCAGACAGAGGAGCTCCTGGAGTGGCAGCCTGAGGCCCTTCCTCCCCACTTTAGCCTTCTGCACATGCTCTCAGGGTTGCCGAGCTCTCTGGCCATAGGGCCCCCTCGTGCAACACAGAGCTCAGGGGTCCCTTGATAGCTGCTGCCAGGCTGTGGACATGATATGATTCCAGCCCCCAAATGATGAAGCCTTTCTTTTTTTTTTTTTTTTGTCTTTTTGATTGCATGTGCAGGGTAAAATCTAGGAAAACATGGTCTGGTCCGCCTTTTCCATGGTCAGAATTCCCTTCAGTTCCTATCACTGTCTGCTGAATTGCCCTGTGAATTCTCCAGACACATCCAGAGCTGCCTGCCTTCAGCCAGAATCCGGGGGTGGCTTGGGTAATAAATGCAAGTGTCCTGAGGAGCAGCTTTGGTCCCAGGTCTAAACTTACTCCCTGGATTCTCTGTTTTCTTGGAGCTTGGTTATTTTCCACCAAGTGTTAGACGTAAAATAAAGTTTTGCCTTTTATTATGAGGAGATTGTTTCCAAATGCCATTAAATCAGGCATTGCCTCTATGCAAAATATTTCGGGAAAATATTAGAACAGCTTTCTGCTGTTGTGAGCTTCTTGTGCAAAATGCTTAACAAAAGTCGGGAACTGATTATTTTAGTATGTTCAGGTTCAGGAGTCTTTGTGATGAACAAGTAGGTTTTAGATGCATATTTTAGTTGCCATCTACATTTATTAATTCAAGAAGTGGTCCATTCCCTCAAAGGCCGGCAGTTGGGGGCAAACTGTCCCCATGTGAACCAGGGTGAGGGCACTGGAGCAGTTAAGAGTCCCACAGGCTAGGTAACAGCCTAGGTAACACAATTTGCACAAAAAGTAAAGATGACAACTGCTGGAATGAGGTTTGTAAAAGTTAGTAATAATTTTATTCTTAACTCCGTAAATGATGGTTTAGAGCTAAAATAAAGGCTGGCTTTACTTGATGAAAGCTGTGTTTGTTTTTCCACTATTTGTTTTTTGCCCCACTATTTGAACAATTACTATTGTAATTACTATTACTTGTCACATTTCCCCACCGTTTATTTTTCTTGACCTTGCTTTGTAGGGAGCAGACTCTGGGAGATTAAGGGAGACTAACGGCAGTCAGTCATGCCACACTAATTATTATACCTTTATTTCCCAAAACTAAAAAATATTCACATCTATATGTCTTCAAATTTGTCTGAGTCAGAAATATCTTTTCCAGTTTTATTATGCCCCCCCCCAGTTGGTCTGTCTCCTGTTTTGGTTAAACCACAGACCCCCTCTTGCATGTTAATTCCACACATCCCTTCCATTAATTAACTAAGGTGTGGGGAGACATGAACAGGGCATCCAGGGACACCCACCTTTCTGGGATTCTACAAAGTGTGGGGGTCACCCATTAAAGCTCACAAGAGAATAACTGAATGACAGTGCCTGTTTATTAAGTCACCGTGGGAACTATGATTACCCAGTGCTCAGAGGTCAGCATGGTCTTTTTCTTTCATCAAAACTATAGAAGGGAAAATGCCATCCATCTACAGCAGGATAGAAGAACACTGAATTCCCAGTAATGAGTCAATCAAGTGGTATGCAGTACCTCACAAGAAAATAGAAAACATTATTTATAGAATTTAAAGAAGAACCAGACAAACAGAAGGATATGCCATATTTGTGAATTGGAGGGCTCCAATTATCGTTATAAAGATGTCAGATCATGTTATAGAGGTAATGACATAAAAACCGAGCAGCTTTTCTAGGTGGAAATGGACAAGCTTTTGGGAATGCAGAGAGCTGAGACTATCTAGGACCATCCAGAGAGGACAAGGGGGCAAGAGTGGTGATTACTGGGGACTTAAATGCTGGACACAAGACTTCCTGTAAAACCCAGTTGCTGGGACAGCGTGGGATCGGCACAAAGGTTGATGAACAGACTCACAGGACAGAACTGGAAGCTCAGGGCAGAAGCTCACTGTGCACGGGTGTGGGAGTTATAACAGAGGGGGCACTGCCTGGTGGTGGGGAAATGGTGGTCTTGTCAACAAATGGAGTTGGGTGAACTGGATCCACATGGAAAAAAATGAATCCTGACTCTTACCTCACACCATGCACAGTAAATATCAGGTGATGGTAGAAGTTTCTAGAAGCTTCAGGACAGAGTTAGGAGATTGGTGAGAAATAATGAGGGCAACACCCCACCCATGAGGAAAGACTGATGAATCGGCTGCGTTAGATCCACTAAGAGAGCAGGAAGGCAGGCCAGGGAGTGATGATGTTGGCAGCAGAGCCCACCCAGTAGGGGACCCATGTCCAGAGCTGTTGAAGAACAGAAAAATCGGCAATCAAACTGGGGGAAGGACAAAAAAAGGCAACACGTGCACACCCACATGACACATGTACACATGCACACACTTGCACCTGAAGACCAATAAATATGTGAGAAGATGCACAGTTTCACTGGGCTTTATGACAGGCAGTGAGAAAAAAACCACAGTGAGAAACTGTGACACATGCACCGCAGCGGCTCAGATAAAGGCAGCTGGGAAGGCTACATGCCAGCCAGAATGTAAAGCGACTGGCCTGGCATTCACCGTGGCAGCAGTGTACTTGTGCACTCACTCTGGAAAGTTGCTTAGTGTTGTCTACTAAGGCTGGCCCTCTGCCACCCCCGACCCACCCAGGTGTGCACCCAACAGAGATGCACTCAGACACAGTAGTGGCGTGTGGAAGGGGCCAAGTGGGTTAATCAGGTGGAAACACTCACCCTGTGGGCACGAGAAACTGCTGCCACACACACGGCATGGGTGAACGTTACAACTGTGATGTTGAACAGGAGGACAGACATCGAAGAACAGCGTTCCATTTACAAACATAACCAGCCTACAGCACGCGCCGTCTGCACCATGGCCGCCGCCCTGGAGGGAAGGGGGCTCTGAGAAGCTTTTGTGTCCTGTTTCCTGATCTGAGTGTTGGTTACACTGAGAACTCACTCCTCCAACTGTATGCTTTTGATTTGGGCACTTTTCAGCCTGTATGTCATACTGAATCTCAGTATTATTATTAGGTAAGTGTCCCTGTGGGAAGGGCACTTGTGATCATAGGGCCGCCGGGTGAGGTACGAGCAGGCAGGCGAGAGGGAAGCCACCAGGTCTTGAGCTGGAGGGAAAGCCTGGTGCGTCCACTTTCACTATGAGTTGGTTTCTGCCCATTGGCCCCAAGTTCATGTCCAGAGCCTCTGACCCTAGATGACAACGACCAAGGACAACAAGCATTCTGACCTCTCTGACCACTTCTTTCTCTGAAAACATAGTCCCTTTAGACTAAGGAATGCGCTGGTGATTTTAGTACCAAGTAGCTTTCAAATTATGATTATGTCCCTTTTCTACCTTCCTGCAGTTGAATCTTGTTTGACATCTGGGGGTCCCAATGAACCCTAGCCATGGAGTTTCAGGCAAGAGTACAGCCCCTTGAAAACGTGGTAGGTCTCATCCAGTCTGGGTGAGTTTACTAGTTACTTTCTTTAAAAGTAACCAATTTCTGGTCTTGATTTTTCGGGAACTTTCCCTCCATCTAATTATTGTAATGATCCTGTTGGGAAATGACACAAACTTAGAAATGGCCCGTTCCAAAGAGATCACTAATGGCACCTGCCAGGTTATTCAGGTGTTGTTGGGCCAGGCTCTCAGTGTGGATAATGGGCGACACTGTTCAGTTAAGGGGAGGTAAGGAGGAGATGTGCACCACCCTCTGAGAACACTTCTGCTGACGATCGCAATAGTCATGTTCCTCGGAAACCGGTCTCTCTAGCTCCCAGTTGTGGCCTCTGTGCCCTGAAGTGCAGCTTCTCAGTGTAGACCTGGTGCCTTCGAGGATCGGCCTCTGTGTTCAGGGCTCAAGTAGGTGGGAGGACAAAGGACCAGAGAGAGGGCGGGAGACCAGCAGGTCCTCGTGGCATTGTAGAAGGAAGCAGCAGCCAGGCCTGGAAGTGCTGGGATGAAGGAAGTCACTGGCCAGGAGGCCTGGCCAGGCTCTCATCTGCTCTGATGGTTCCCAGCTCACCTGGCAGCTCCTGTCTCACCTTGTGACTCTGGTCTCACCTGGCAGCTCCCACCTCACTTCTCAGGGATGCTTTCCTAATAAACTTTTGTGATAGGACGAAAAGTGCCCACATCATAAACACACAGCTTGATGAGCTCTCGGAGTCCTGGAGAAAAGTGAGTATCCTGGACCCAGAAGGTGTTTGGTCTCCGAGCCTCCTGCTCTGTCCCCCGAGAGCACTGCCTGGGTGAGTGGGAGGCTGGGGGCTGGGGGGCCTCGCATGAGTCAAATGCCAAACTCCTGCCTTTCCCATGAGACATCTTTAGAGGGCAGTGAGTGAGAAAGGTTTTGCAATTATTAATCACTGGAATAAAAAGCATGCAGATTCACTTAGTTTAAAACAATGTTGCAATGTTGCAGACGGATGTGATGCACCAAAACATTTATGACTATATCCACGTGGATGACCGCCAGGACTTCTGCCGGCAGCTCCACTGGGCCATGGACCCTCCCCACGTGGTGTTTGGGCAGCCCCTGCACTCAGAGACAGGTGGGTCTTTGGGTCTTCTGTAGGTCTAACCAAGACTTGGAACAGTTCGTGTAAACATGTGGATGCCTCTGAGAAATTTCCATCGTGCTTTCTCATCTGCCTTTGCTTCACATTGAATGCAGTGCCTGACATTTCTCTCCTTCGGGGACCCCCTCCCACACACCCCTCCCCCTCTGCAGGGGTCCCCACTCAGCTCTCTGGCTCCTGAGTGCATGTGGCTTGGCTGGAGCATGAGACCACTTCACAAGAAGCTACAGTACTTGTCTCTCATTTTGCAAACTCCCCCTCAAGATGCACGTCTTCCAGGAAATTCCTTTGGCCCATATTAGATTTACCTGAAAAAAGGCCTAAAGATTATTGTCTGCTCAGAGACACTGCCCCTTGTGGGCAAGCCCCCCTGCAAAGGGTTTCCTCCAGGTCTGTGGCCCCTGCCCCATCACGACACATGCGGCAAGCACCCATCTCTGTGAGAGGTAGTGGAGCAGACGGGAGGCCAAGGGGAGGGGGTGGTGTCCACTGGGGGGGTCCCAGCTCTTCCACACACTTTCCCCAAAGTTGTAAACAATTCAAGAAAAGCTTCTACCACAATCTCAGGTAACAGCATGATTTACCTCACAAAGCTGAGTGAAAAAGAAAACCCTGGGTGCCAATAGGCGATATCATTTTATAAAGCTCAAAACAAAACTGGACAACAGAGTCACAGTCATACATGCAGTTGTACTGAGATGGTATTTTTAAGGGCAAAGAACAGTGAAGGCAAAATTTGTCAGAGCAACTATATCGGGAAGAGGGTGGGTGGGGAGCAGAGGCAGAGGCCAGTGGTCCTCAGTGGGACACACACGCATGTGTGTGTGCGTGCAAGGGACGGGGCGGGCACGTGGTGGGGGCATGTGGGGGATGCGGGATGGGTGTGTGTGGCAGGTGTGTGCATGCGGTGGGACAGGTGTGTGTGTGGGCATGTATGTGGCAGGATATGTGTGCAGGGCGTGTGTGTGCATGATGGGATGTATGTGTGATGGTGCGTGTGTGTGGGAGATGGGGTGTGTGTGCTGCATCTGTGAGGTGGTGTGTGTGGAGTGTGTGAGAGGCGGGGTGTGTGAGGGGGTGTGTGTGTGTGTGTCGGGCGGGCTGTGGGGGATGGGGATGGGTGTGTGTGGCAGGTGTGTGTGTGCATGCGGTGGGGCAGGGGTGTGTGAGGTGTGTGTGTGTGTGTGTGAGAGGCGGGGCGTGTGTGGGAGGGTGTGTGTGAGGTGGACCGCGGGGGGTGGCAGCGCACATGGTGGCGCGCAGAGGGTGGCGGTGTGGGGAGGCGCGCGTGTGTGACCGCGCATGTGTGAACGCGTGTGGCCGTATGCACGCGTGTGTGACTGTGTGCCCACAGGTGTGCCCGTGTGTGACCCTGTGTGGCCGCGGACGCGGCGGGCCGGCGGGCGGGGGCGCACACCTCCGTGCTGGGCGCTCACCCCTGTGCGCACGCCCCGAGCCCCTCAGAGCACACTCACCGCCTCTCTCTCCGCCGCGCCCCCGCGCCGGTGCCATCGCGGCCGCAGAGGACGCCGTCCTGGGGAGGCTGCTGCGCGCGCAGGAGGGAGGCGCGGGCTCGCCCACGGACTTCTCGGCCTTCCTGACGCGCTGCTTCGTGTGCCGCGTGCGCTGCCTGCTGGACAGCACCTCGGGCTTTCTGGTGAGTGCGCGCCCCCTGGCGGCCAGAGGCGCCCCTCGCGCGGAAGGGATTTCGGGAGCGAGAGCGGGAGCCGCGCGTGAACGTCTGCGCTCGGTTTCATCGGCTTAGTTGCACCTCCATTAAGACTCTTGAGAGACGTTTGCCCGGCGCAGCCCGCCGCCTGGCGTGCGCCTCCGCTCCGGCGCAGGCTGTTGGTTTAACCTCTTGTCTTGCCGGCAGACACTTGGGGTTTCCATCTCCCGCCCTCTTAGGGCCCCGGGGGAGAGGCGGGAGGGGCGGACCCCAGCCCACCCAATCCTCAGCCGGCCTCGCATCCCGGGGGTGGGGGGGGGGAGGGGTCCGCTTTGCGGCGCCCCCCACCCTCCTGTGCCGCTGCCTGCAGACCAACACCATGACCTCTGACCCCAGGAGTCCCAGGCCTTTGTCAGCGGTCGACCCCTCAGGCTGTGTGCCCTCTTCCCCAGCCCCACCTGGGCTGTGGGCCCCTCCGGAGTCTCTCTCTCACCTTGACCTTGGGGTCCTGCAGGGGGGTCCACAGGAGGGGTGCGCCCTCAGTGTTCCGCTGCGCTGGGCGGGGGGTCTCGCTCAGCCTGTGTTGGAGGAAAGGTGAGCAGAGGACAGTGGGCATTCCTCTGGGTTGTCTTCCAAGTGGTTCTGAGAACAGGGAGCCCTGGGGAAGCCCCCACAGACCAGTGTGACCTGTCAACACGAGCTCTTGGGTGTCCTGCCTGCTGGCTTGTCCCATCTCATGCGAGCTCCTCTCCGTTTTCTTGATTCATGCTGACCTTTTCCAGCCCAGGGCCTGCTGTGTGCAGCACCACGCAGAACGCAAGACCCAGAGCTTCCCTACTGCTCTTTGAGTGGCTTTCAGGAAATGCACACCCAAGCCATTCCACATCCAAGCCATCTGAGGGTCCTGGGCTGAGCCGCAGGCTCTTGAGATCAGAGTCCCGCTGACTGCATAACCCCACCACAGGCGGGGCGCAGTGGGGAGAGGCCTCATCCGCCCACAGGGTGGGCAGTACTTTCCATTAACCTTCTCCTGCTGGCGGGTCTTTTTTTTTTTTTTTAATAAAAACATTGCTCATATGTAATACACATCCAGTCATTTCAGAAGAGCAGAGAACAAAATACAAAAATGTCCTCCTTGGGCACCTGGGTGGCTCAGTCGGTTAAGCGACTGCCCTCGGCTCAGGTCATGATCCTGGAGTCCCAGGATCGAGTCCCGCATCGGGCTCCCTGCTCAGCGGGGAGTCTGCTTCTCCCTCGGACCCTCTTCCCTCTCGTGCTCTCTATCTCTCATTCTCTCTCTCTCAAATAAATAAATAAAAAATCTTAAAAAAAAAAAATGTCCTCCTTTGCATACCCAGGCCCCTTTCCAGGTATCAGCACCCCAGTACTGTTCTTCCTGAAGCTCTTCTCACCCAGCCTCCCCAACTTTTTCTTCTGTGAGAGGGCTGAGCTTGTGGTGGTCTTGTGGACTCTCCCCAGGACTCAGGACCCTTTGTGCCTCCACACGTGCTCCCTGAGCCTCACCTGGCTGACCCCTCTTCAAACTGGAGGTCCTCAGTGGAGACGCTGCACTTTCAGAGTCCCATGTCACCCACTCAGGCCATCCAACCTGCCAGGTTGCTCTACATTTGCCCAGAGTGATGGCAGCTTAGGAAATCACTCCAAGCTGCCTCTTGGTGGTCATGTGTCATTTATGGCAATATTTTGGCCTCAGTCATCTGGCAGTACAATGGCAACACTGCATATTTCTGCAGGCCTTTCCATGCACACCAGGACCTTCACAAGAGAAATAGCTTTTTATTTGCATTATAGTCCCAGATCTACTGCCACCGTGCATACAGTGATTGCTCATCTTTTATTTAGGTGATTAGTTGACCATAAAGTCTTTTATTTTGATAATATTTTGTTCTAAATTTTATGGAAACTAATCTAGCTACTATTTATTGGCTTATAAGGAATGTCCACTTTTTAAAATTGCATAACCAATTCCTGGAAATTGGAAATTCTTATTTTCAGATGACATAAAATTGGAGGGATTTTTACTATACAATCAAGCAGAAATTAGAATATAGGTTAAAATGAAATGGTAAAAAACAATGCACTGAATAGAGGAAACAAGCAAAAGAAATTTGTCTGAAAATGTTTGATTACACTAATTCATAAAATTCGTTACTGCACACACTGGAAAGGGCCCAGGCATTCAAAAGGAATGCACTGGGAACAGGCAAGTGGGCATGACTTACGGCTCTCCTGGCATTCCTCTGTGACTCTGTGGAAGCCACCCTCTTTCCACAGTCAGGTCAAAGTGGTGCTCCTGTCCAGACGGGCTCAGGCCACCCGTGAGAGCCCATTGTTACATCAGGTATTTAGAGGTCCTGTTGACATTTAGTTGGTAGTTTGAAATCAGCCATGATGGGAATATTTCCACCAAAGAAATTGACAAACATTACAAATCAGGTCTTTTTTTCTCTGGAGAGCTGGATGTTGAACATATCCCAGCACACAGCTACCTTGAATTCTCCACACCAAGAATGTGACTGGCAAGCAGTAGGTGTTTTGCAAATGTTTTTTCATTCAGTAAATCCATACACAAATGGGGAGATGGACAGATGGCTGATGGGAGGATGGGGGGATGGATGGGGGTAAATGGACGGGTGGATGGATGGATGGTTGGATGAGAGACTGGGTGGATGCGTGGGTGGATGAAGGGATGGCGGGTCGGAGGTTTAAGGACAGAGAGGGCCACATTGTGGGGTCATTCTTTCATCAAGGGCAGGAATGCCCTGAAGGCACTTAGTAATTTAGATTAGCTTTTCTACTGTAGAAAGATCTTTTATTTTCTTTTATCACAAACTCCTAAATTACACTATGTACTCTAGATAAAATCAGGTTGTCCCTAAGCTTTATCATCGTAAATGAGAAATGATAATTCTGAAATAGAGAGTTAAAGCTGGAACAGCCCTCCGAGATTATCTCCTCCAGCAAATCCTGCCAGGGTGGCTGATGGCTCTGCCATGGGCCAGTGACAGCTCGTGTCCATGCACAGTAGCACTCACTGTGTGAGGTTCCCACGAGTGCACACACGAGCGCATGCTTATCAGTGAAAGGATATTACTGAAACTGCAGAGAAACTGTGACTCGCTCTGAAGGCCCTGGGATGGTCCACATCCCCAGTAGGCCAAGCATGGACGAATTGTTGGTTTGTGTCTCCTTAGTGACTCAGGATAAGATTCTTCTCCAAGTTTCTAATCCTGAGAATGTGCGTTCTGCATTCTTGGATGGTGACGCTAATTCGTTCTGTGGACACTTCTTCGTTTCTGTCTTTAAAACACCAGACGATGCAATTTCAAGGAAAACTAAAATTCCTGTTTGGACAGAAGAGGAAAGCGCCGTCGGGGACTGTCCTGCCCCCTCGGCTCTCACTGTTCTGCATCGTGGTGCCTGTCCTCCTGCCCTCTGTGGCGGAGATGAAAATGAAGAGCGCGTTTTTGAGGGTGAAGCACAGGATGGACGTCTCAGCCTCTATGGACACAAAGTGAGTGAGAGTCCCCTCAGAAAGCAGCCACGCTCACTGC